ATGACAATGAGTTCCATGAGTCACTAGTAATATAATGTCAATGAGTTCCATGAGTCACTAGTAATATAATGACAATGAGTTCCATGAGTCACTAGTGATATAATGACAATGAGTTCCATGAGTCACTAGTGATATAATGACAATGAGTTCCATGAGTCATTAGTGATATAATGGCAATGAGTTCCACGAGTCACTATTGATATATTTGCAACGAGTTCCACGAGACACTAGTAATATAATGACAATGAGCCCCATGAGTCACTAGTGATATATTGGCAATGAGTTCCATCAGTCAATAGTGATATAATGACAATGAGCTCCATGAGTCACTAGTGATATAATGGCAATGAGTTTCACGAGTCACTAGTGATATAATGGCATTGCGGTCCACGAGTCACTATTGATATACTGGCAATGAGTTCCATGAGTCACTAGTAATATAATGGCATTGCGCTCCACGAGTCACTAGTGATATACTGGCAATGAGTTCCATGAGTCACTAGTGATATAATGGCAATGAGTTCCACGAGTCACTAGTGATATAATGACAATGAGTTCCATGAGTCACTAGTGATATAATGCCAATGATTTCCTCGAGTCACTTGTGATATAATGACAATGAGCTCTATGAGTCACTATTGATATATTGGCAGTGAGTTCCATGAGTCATTAGTGATATAATGGCAATGAGTTCCACGAGTCACTATTGATATATTTGCAACGAGTTCCACGAGTCACTAGTAATATAATGACAATGAGCCTCATGAGTCACTAGTGATATATTGGCAATGAGTTCCATGAGTCAATAGTGATATAATGGCAATGAGCTTCATGAGTCACTAGTGATATAATGCCAATGAGTCACTAGTCACTAATGAGTTCCACGAGTCACTAGTGATATAATGGCAACTAGTTCCATGAGTCATGAGTGATATCATGGCAACGAGTTCCATGAGTCATGAGTGATATCATGGCAACAAGTTCCATGAGTCATTAGTGATATCATGGCAACGAGTTCAATGAGTCATTGGTGATATCATGGCAACGAGTTCCATGAGTCATTAGTGATAGCAACGAGTTCCATGAGTCATTAATGATATCATGGCAACAAGTTCCATGAGTCATTAGTGATATCATGGCAACGAGTTCCATGAGACATTAGTGATATCATGGCAACGAGTTCAATGAGTCATTGGTGATATCATGGCAACGAGTTCCATGAGTCATTAGTGATATCATGGCAACGAGTTCCATGAGTCATTAGTGATATCATGGCAACGTGTTCCATGAGTCATTAGTGATATCATGGCAACGAGTTCCATGAGACATTAGTGATATCATGGCAACGAGTTCCATAAGTCATTAGTGATATCATGGCAATGAATTCCACGAGTTCTATGAGTCACTAGTGATATAATGGCAATAAGTACCATGAGTCACTAGTGATATAATGGCAACAAGTTCCATGAGTCATCAGTGATATAATGGCAACGAGTTCTATGAGTCATTAGTGATATAATGGCAACGAGTTCCATAAGTCATTAGTGGTATCATGGCAACGAGTTCCATAAGTCATTAGTGATATCATGGCAACGAGCTTCCGGAGACATTAGTGATATCATGACAACGAGTTCCCTGAGTCATTAGTGATATCATGGCAACGAGTTCCATGAGTCATTAGTGATATCATGGCAACGAGTTCCATGAGTCATTACTGATATCATGGCAACGAGTTCCATAAGTCATTAGTGATATCATGGCAACGAATTACATGAGTCATTAGTGATATCATGGCAACGAGTTCCATGAGTCATTAGTGATATAATGGCAACGAGTTCCATAAGTCATCAGTGATATCATAGCAACGAGTTCCATAAGTCATTAGTGATATCATGGCAATGAGTCATTATTTTTACAGTGGCTATTTCATGAGTCACTACTTCTGTTATTTTTTATTTGTCAAATATACATCAGCATTTGAACATTTCAACAACCTTTCATACATATAATTAATCCACTCTTTTATATACATAACGAACTTAATAAATTTTTTAATTAGTTACCTAATTATTAAACTTGACTTAATTACTTCAAAAACAAAACATACAAATTAAATTCGAAACCATCCTTAATTCAACTCCTTTAAACCTATTTTGCAATACAGAAACACAATATGAGTAAATGTTTAATCACTGGGTCAAGCCACCAAAATATATCCATCAAAATCTATCTGTTTTATCTATTGAATCAGCCAATCAGAACCCACAACCAAATTGTTTACAGTAGTCTTGTCAAGGGCTCTGATCGGCTGCTTTCGCAATAGGCAAGTGTACAATCCAATCAAATCGATGCATTTTCTAACTTCTGAAAGGTGGCTATTTCATTCTATGTCTTGATGCTGTTAATGTTAAATCATTCAATATGAACCCTTTTTTACTAAAGATTTTATGATCAATTAAATAATCTCAATGTAAACTTCCCTTGATATATTTCATTAAAAGATTTTGGGGTGAAACTGGCCCAGAAATGGAATGTTTCAAAGTAATATTTTATAAGCACTATATTAATCTTGATAAAAGTTCTAAGCCTATTTCAACATTTTTTCAATACAAATTAAAATTTCTGTTTTTTATTAGCTTTTATTTATAATATAGCCACTTCAGTTAGGGTCTAAAAACGGCCTTCTTGAACATTTGTCTTAGTTTGGTCAAATTTAATTTAAATCAGACTGAGCTTTGAACACTTTCAAACAATGCTAGACAAATTAAGTTAAATGCTTGGTCTTGTAATACATTGACATGGCAGGCATACTAATACTCACATATAGTTCACAATAAGGCGATATTAAGTTGAAAACACAAAAACAAAAATTTTACTCTTGGAATAGTACCAAAGATTACAAACGTTGAAGAAATGAAAGAAAATACAAGACAGTTTTTATTTTTATGCTAAATGCATGCTCAAAAAGTTCCTTTACAGTTTGGGACAGACTTTTATTCAGAATATATAAGAATTTTAAATATATAGATACGATATCACGTGCATTTTTTATAGATTTACGTTAAGAGTATAAACTTTTTAGTTATAGATGTGTATTAAAACGCATGATGTATTAAATATTAGATGGGAAATTTTGAAGATGAGAAACAAAAAAAATGAAAAAAGATAATGGCTATCTTACAATTTATAAACATTTAAACAAAAACAACATTCAAATTTTAATATGGCACTTATTCACTGCAGCATTATTTGTCTCCATTTCAGTAACCTAATTTATAACATGGCAAGTAACAGTGAAAAAATCATGTTTTAGTTCATGTAACGTATATTTGCATGTATAACGCTCATTTTTTTACTCAAGAAAGACCTTGCCAACATGGGAGTTTTTCATAGGAACTTCTACAATTGATAGTGACTGACTGCCTTCCATTTTGTAAGTTTGTCCATCTGTTGGAGTGCAAGGTGCCCCAAATGCTATATATAGCATCAAACACGGAGATCGAAACAGCCAATATCAAAAGCCAGAGCTATCCAGTTTTATCCATCTCAAGTTAAACAGCATTGCTTAATGCTACAGTGAAGTAATGCCCATTAATAATAATAATAATAATTTAGATCCTAAATTTCCGTGGGTTATAAATCAGTTCTCGGAGTACTAGCTTTCTCTTCTTCACCTGCAAATAAAATCAACAATGTCTTAAAAATTTGGGATTTTGTCTAAAATATGGATTAGTGGTGCATTCATGTAGGCTAATTAACAAAATTTTCTTCACAAAATTCCGGATTTTTGTCTAAAGTAGGAGGAATTATGTACTTTTAGGGAATTTAAACGAAAACTACATAATTTATCTCAAATAAAAAGGACTATCCAAAATTGTCTAGTGTTTCATTTCAAACAATGTGTGCTTTTTTTTTAAGATATGAAACATAATTTGGGCTGCGTTTTTGAAGTTTTTTTAGCTTTTTCTTTCACCACCCAAACCTAAAACTGTGATTATATATAAATTGGAACTAAAGGGTTAATAAAACTCTCATATATTGCAAGACTGGAAATATTGTGTCTGTCACCCCTTAATTATTAATGAACTCTCCTGCACATGCAATTTCAATTGAAAGTGAAAGCCAACATTATTTTTTAGAAGAGTTCATTTGCAAATCAAGGGGTGATTTTGAATAAAAGATTTTCTGCCTTGGATATTTGTTAGCCCTATGCTATTTCTAAATCATTACAATAATTTTATTAGTAAAAAAGTCTTCTAGTTCACTTTCAGTAATCATTTGTCAAAACCAAAAAGGTCAAGAAAACATACCACGCCAATTTACAACATAAAAATTATATGGGACCATTTTCCAATAAAATCATAAAAGCTTACTCAAGAAGTGAAAGTGTTTATTTGTAATTGGTGCGTTTAATCTTTGTTTAATATAAAGCCACTGGGCAAATGATGCCTCTGGAAATGAAATGCCCTCAATAGTGAATGAAAACACAAAGCAATACAAAGCAAAATTTAGATCTGCTCAATGTGGTTCAGTCAGTAATAAGGTGCTTGCAATCTAACTAACCAATCATAAATAAAAATTAATAAGCATCTAATTCAGTTGAACCCTTGACCTCTCATCTTCACAATACACTTAGCTATTACAAACTTTGTCTTATACCTTAACTTCATAAGGTTCTCTTCTTGTATCTCGAAAGCTTTAATATGCAGCAATTTGGTTGGATTGTACGCTACCTTAAACAGCCAATCAGAGCCTTCGACAGACACACAGTACACATTATGTCCTTTTGTATACAGGCTTTCTGTCAAGGGCTCTGATTGGCTGTATTTGCTAACATATAATCCAACCCAATTGCAGCATTTACAAACTACTGTAATACAAGAAAGGTGGCTATTTTAGTCAAGGTATAAGATGAAGTTTGTAATAGCCTGACATTGTGAAGATGCTGACTCATAAAATTTAAAGGGGATGTTTTAACATCCTACCTGAGGGTTTTTCTGTTGTTTCACTCTCCTCTGTAGCGCTGTCAGTATTTTTTGATTTTTCTGAAGATTCTTCTTCTACTGGTGGCACCTCTTCTGTAAAATAAAAATGTTAATTTAAGAAGGTTCAACAGAAATGTGCTTAAAAATAATCGGAACGAGTCTTAAGGTGAAGCCGAGGCATATATGAAAAATCTACAGTTCTTGAAGAGGAGGAGTTTAAGGGGTAGTATATAAACTAAATGGACCAATACCTTGAATAAGAATTTAAGGGAGAGTTAATAAATTAAATGGGCAAGTACCTTGAATAAGAATTTAAGGGAGAGTATAAAAACTAAATGGACTCGTACCTTGAGTAGGGGGTGTTTCAGTAGTGTCTATATCTATAGTAGTGGAGTTACCATCAGGTTTTTTTTTAGTTGTATTACTAGGTCCTGTATCAGTATCGTTTACCACTATCTTCGGCTTGGCCTTTGGTTTAAAATTTTTAGCTTTGTTCACCAGGTATTTCACCTCGCGATCTAAGCCATGTATTTTATATGCTATACTTTCTACCAATATTTTAGGGTTTTCATTGTCTTTTAATGTTTTTAGTTCCTTTAAAGCATCCTTATTCCAATCCTGAAAATTACAAGTAAGAAATTGAAGAATGACAATCAAAGGTGATGCCAAAACAATGGCACTTTGCGTGATCCAAATACCAGTCCAATAACATAAGAGGCCTCGACACGGAAAGTCCAAATACTTTTATATGCCAGTAATTTCTCATTGTAGCTCTATTATTTCTGGCTATGAAACACTCTAATGTCATATTAATCCTTAAGCAATAATTAATGTAATATTTTGTAATTGTGGTCTTAAAATATCAAGTCTGTATAAAGAGTTATCTCCCTTGAGAAAAAAAGGAGGTGATTCTGAATTAAGATGGTGGTTAAAAAAATTTTTTGAGTGTTTCAATCATAGCCATACTGGAGAATATAGCATCCAAGACTGATGATTGAATTAGTCACCTAGATTTTTATGGACTACAATTCAATAAAAAAAAAAAATTATGATAAAGCTAAATGCATGTCCAAAAACGTCCATTTGTGAAAATGTCAAATCGAAAGACATTATGTCTAATTACCCTGTTATAATTAATAATTCAATAAAACATACCCTAGTCTCATTCACTAGTTTCTCTAACGTAGCAACTTCAACATCAGTAAATATAGATTCCTCGTTTATCTTTGACAGATTTTTGACAGTTCCTAAGAAAAACTCGGAATGGTTCAACATATTTTTCAATGCTTCTAAAGCTTTTGGTCTTTCTTCCTTTTCTTTTACTCTCATTAGGATATCTTTCATTCCTTCTTTAAGTGTTTTCAGTTTCTCTTTATACGCCTGTAGAAAAACAAATAATTAGTGTCTGTGATATGCCAACTCTGACTCATGCACATTATGTAAGGGTAAATGAATATTTCCTAAATGGTAGAAGCTTCTTCTATGCTAGCAATTTATGCTTGATCTGCTGGAGCAAAACTTGAAAATTGTTAATGGTGCGGGCACACGAAGTTTTGGTCGCCGATTTTTATTGCAGACTTGAATCTTTAAGTAAAATCTCATGTGTGCCCTCACTTCTGCATAATTTTTGTCTCCTCGTGTGCCTGCAGCCGGTCGGTGAAACTCCTGACAACACTGTAGTCGGCAACAAAAATTGGCCCTTACTCAGTGACTTCACAAAATTTAGAGTCATCGATTTTAGTTTAAAAAAAGACTGAGAACATACCTCCTTCTTTGTATCGTCAGGTGTTTCATACAGCCAATCAGAAGACTCGGTGAATAATTTACTCATATTCTCTTGTTCGGCCTCCGTGGAACATCCCATATACAAATCCTGCGTCATTTTATCTTGCATATCAAATATATAACCTTCTAAACTATTCTTAGCTTTCTCTAGATCAGCCTTTTCTTTATCTATTTTACGCAATTCTTTTAATCTGAAATGATATGAATGAAATATGAACTTACAGGGAAACACCATGCAGTGAACAATAAGGGAAATTTTGCCATAACAGCAAAACCATTTCTAAGGATTTTGAGCTGTTCAGGGACTATTTAATTCAGAGAAATCAAACAGGATTTTATTCTATTCAAAATTTGTCGTGCATGGGCAGTGAATTTTGCACTAGTTTTTTTTCTAGAGTGTCAAGCCATTTTGATTTTCAAAAGAGTTATTAAGTGACTGTTTCAGGGTTAGGTTGGAATGGTCATATGTTTTTCCGTCACGTCATGGTGCAAAAAGCCTTATGAATTACTGGAACTAGGCATCTATATTTAATAAACTATTTTATACAAACCTGTCTACACTTTCTTTCATTTTATCTTGAGTCAGTGTGGGTAAATCTTGATTGACAGATGTAGTTTTAATATCTTCTTTTAATATGATATTCTTAGGCTTCTTTGGTTCTTCCTGAAATATATAATCATCACATTGCAAATATCAATTTATCACACAACAGTACTGTTCCCAGGTTTGTAACACAGGTTCATAAAGATAATATGCACTCGGAGCACAGGTTACTAACTACGTCAATTAGGTCATGTATTCATGCGCCATACAATAAGAGCAAATGATGTTTATGATAAATAAAATCTTTGAATCGGTCATATAACCGCCATATTCCTGCATGTAAATTCAAGGACTTCATAACAGAACAGATATCTTGGAAAAAGGCTTATTGCCATGAAAACTCAAGATTTTCCTTGACTACAAGGTTCCTTACTACTAATACAGTGTTTTCAAAAAAACAATATAATCAACTTACAGGTTTAGTTTCATTTTTCTTAGAAGTACTCTTATCTTTACTATCTTTGTCTTTCTTGTCTTTTTTGTCCTTCTTGTCTTTTTTGTCTTTTTTCTTATCTCCCTTGTCTGACTCAGTTGTCTTCTCTTGACCAGATTTGTCGTCTGCTGGTTTTCCAGTTTCTTTGTCGTCTGGCTTGCTTTCTGGCATTGGGGTTTCTACTTCTGGTTTTTGATCCTCATCCGTCACTTTGCCCTCTTCCTAAAATTTCAAAAAGATGAATTGAAAACATGTTAAGTTTTCATTTGTGTTGACCCTACAATTGTCTTAAGAATTTTCAAGAATCCATGTTATTTTTGTCATCCATTATCTGTGATTACTGTATTATTTTTAACGGCCTACAGACTATCAAATAGGAAATTCTTGCCACAAGGATAGCAAAATATTTTCAAGAGATCCCCAGCCCCACTTCCTTAATTCACCAGGAATGCCTTGCAACATGTTTTAGATAATCAACCCAGATCACCGCCAATTAATGTGAGCATTTTTTTTCACAGCCTACATGCAATCAAATCAGAAATTTTTGACACAAAGTTGGTAATTGAAGGAGAGACAATTTTTTTCAAACAGCGAAGCCGTGCTCAGTGTTTTGGTTAATCACCTCCAATAAATGTTACTGATATTAGTAATAGTAGAGTATATATGGGAAAGTGCATTAGTATGAAACCTTAGTATTATTCTCAGTCTTTTCAGTGCTATCCTGCATAGAATTAGTAGGTACATCTTGTGGTGAGGCTTTAGTGCTATTACCAGTAGCATTATTGTGGTCTGTGTTATTGAGGTTAGTAGAGTTACCTCCCTTCCCATCAACCTTGGACTAACAAAGAAAGAAAGTATTTAACAACAGATCATGCAAACAGAAAATCAAAGAAAAAGCTACAACATAAAAAACCCTCTTTTCATCTGGTGAATAGAATTGTTTTAGATGAACCACATTGAAAATGGTGCAGTAGATACGTGTAAGTCAATTTTCATCAAACAATGAATTTGAAGACTGGAGATAGCACAGTGAGAGAATGTGGTTGACAACTGACGTCAAGCTGACTTGCAGAAGCACTGGCCATGGCCTATGGCACGTAGTCGTATCAGACAACAATCCAACTTGCTACCGAATGAGCTATTTCACTTGGTAGTGGATTAATATGGTGTAAAATTTCAAATCCTCTAAATAATTTAAAAAAAAATTTGGATCTACCCACAGCCAATGCTTACAGTAACGAATTCTATTCAATGCATGAAATACTTGATGCATGCAGCCTAGGATGGCTGGTTGCTCAATTTAAAATAGAATAAAGTTCATAATCTAATGACTTCTTTATAACATAAATCAGTCACTCGTATTAAACAAGTGGACAGGGGAATGCTTAAAATTAGCTGCTTATTGAAAATGGTTGCTTTTAAATCAGGTTTCAAAACACAAGCCCAAGTCAGCCATTGAGATGGCAAACCAAGATTTGAAACACTGAGACAAAAGAGTTTGTTATATTTTGGTAATTGAGGGTAAGGTAGGTGTGTTAGAAGTGTCGGCCTGTCCTAAGATTATGAACTTTATTCTGAACTACTTTGACTAATCTACAAATTAAAAGTGGAAGTTAGTACTTGGTAAGGACTAGTATAAACTAATATAATCCTAATCTAATAGCCATACTTACGCTCTTTCGCTACAAAAACAAAACAAAATACAATGTTTAAAACTGTCACCAAAATGGCAAACCATACACCTTAAAACTTCTAATAGTTAAAAATACTATTGCTTCAAGTCATCGAGTGGTTTATCAAGTCCCACTCAACTAGACTAAGCCCTTTTCCCCGTAAAATACAACATTTTCCAGACCCTTTTCCCTTTAAAAATAAGACAAACAGGCATCCTGTAAGCAAAAGGATTGACTGCAAAAATAGAAAAGTCCCACCAATAGTCCAAATATCACTATAAAATAACTTGACAAAACAGATAAACCTTACATATTTTCAAGGCTGGATACAGAATAACAGAATCATTTCATTTTTCAGTTAGACATCTGTGGGTCTTACAATTCCACTAATAGTTAACGCTTTATGACATCACTATTGCAAAAGCTGCTAACAATATCTTCGAGCCTTTACAATAGTTACATCAGAAAACCAGTTAAATGGAATTGCAAGACCCACAGACGACTGACTGAAATTGGACTAGTGTAAATTGATGTTATTAGTATCTCAACATTAAAAGATTAAAAAATCTCTTTAAATTCTCTTTAAGAAAACACAAGTGTCAGAGATATCAGAAGTACTCTATATCCATCCTTGTCTCACACAATAAACAAAAAATAACGTCAAATTTTAACACCATAAAGAAGCCATGATGACATAGCAAAATAGAAAGACAGCTTACCTCATCTCCCTGATCAGCAGACGTCTCTACACCACCATCTTTTTCTTCTTCTTTACCGCCAAATAGACCCCCAATAGCTGTTCCTAGTTCTAAATTACAAGAAAATCTCATAATCAAATCTAATGTAAGCCAAATCAAAGTTGCATCAAATCAAAGTTGCATCAAATCAAAGTTAAATCAAATCAAAGTTAAATCAAATCAAAGTTAAGTAAAATCAAAGTTAAGTAAAATCAAAGTTGCATCAAATCGAAGTTAAGTCAAATCGAAGTTAAATCAAATCAAAGTTGCATCAAATCAAAGTTAAGTTAAATCAAAGTTAAGTCCATCAAAGTTAAGTCCATCAAGGTGAAGTCCATCAAAGTTAAGTCCATCAAAGTTAAGTCCATCAAAGTGAAGTCCATCAAAGTTAAGTCAAATCAAAGTTAAGTCAAATCAAAGTTAAGTCAAATCAAAGTTAAATCAAATCAAATCAAAGTTAAATCAATTCAAAATCAAGTCAAAGTTAAATCAATTCAAAATCAAATCTATGTCAAATCAAATCAAAATCAAAATCAAAGTTAAATCAAATCAAATTTAAACTTACTGGACCAAGTAGATTCTTCAGTTTTGTTAACATTTTCAAGTTTTTCAAACACAGATTCTACTCTATCGAGGTTCAGCAGACCGCTCTCATCCATTCTAAAATGGGCCTTAACCCCTTTAGAGTCAGCATCTTTACCATGTTTAGTTTGGGCATCTTTAACCCCTTCTAGTGATACATTGGCCAGGATTAGAGATGGGAATACACTGAAACACAAACAAAACATTACTACAATTTAAACCTTTAGACCCCTACTTTTGTGTCATATATTGAAGAATACAACAAGAAATCAACCCTGTCATTTATTCACGTAAAAAATCTCTTTCTAGGCATATCTTAAGAGGTTATATGGCTTATAACCTAATTGTAAAATCATGAACTTAGTAGACACCAAATTTCGTGTTTTCGTCCTCGGACCTGAATTAACCAACTCACCAAATCGGCAAAAACTTAGCCCCACGATTTTGTAGCGATTTCATTTAAGCTTACCTTTTTTCTTCTTCAGTAAGGAAGTCTAAATCTCCATAACTGATACCAAAAGTAAAATCTTCTGTATGTTTGTTAAAGGTCATGACCTTTTTCTGAGGGAAAGGATTCATTCGCCCAAATAAAACCCTTTTTACAGTTCGGATAGCATCAACTCCATCATCACCTTTCACATGTTTATCAAATTCTACCTGCAATAATATATAGATAAAGATGGAATTGGGTCTTATTTTGTAACTACAGATTGGATTGATGAATGGCAATAACATGCAGTGTACAATGAGGGAAATTTCACCAGGACAGTGGCATTAGCCTGCTCATAATCTAATGAAATTGGCTCTTTAATGTGCACAGCCTGTAGCACACAGGGGCTCTGTTATTATCCCATCCGAACAACTCTGAACGCTTTTTCTACTCCTCTGCAAATTTTGACAGAAAATCTACAAGATTGGCAAATAGAGTATAAAACTTAAGAAACTAAGACTGTTCAAGGCATAATAAGAAGCCCAAGAGAAAGTAATAACTCACCACAATAGGATAAAGATTGCCTTCTTTAACAGAGAATGTTTTTACTTTAAATCCTTTACCCAGAAAGGCTGCTTGATAGACAGCTCCCATAGCAGCTGCTTCATCTGTGTTGATGCTCTTACCCAAATCTTTTCTAGAACAGAGAAATAGAATGGGTTAGACACCATGTAGTGTGCAATAGGGAAAATTTTATTCTACTATCAAAGAGATCTTTAGTATATAAAATGCTTTGGGTAATTTTTCCCACGGAATATGGAAATAAAATGAAATTGAGTTCTTCATCCCTTTTATCACCAACTTAATAGGCCAATGAAGACTGTCCATGTACGTCATGCAGTGTACAATGAGGAAAATTTTGACTGGACAGGACTACTTCTGTTCAATTTCTGACAATGCACAGATGAAGAGAACATCTTTAAATCAGAAATGATGAAAAGAAGCTACAAACCTGCCAATGGTTTCAATAAGATGTTCTTGTATTTTAGGTACTCTAGTTCCCCCTCCCATTAATATTACTTCACTGATTTCTCCCTGAAATATAATCATTAAGGGTTACTCAAAATTCACCAACAACCCTCGGCAACCCTAGTTCCAATCATAGAGGCAACACTGATAAGCATTGTTTATTGGAAACATATCAGCAGTAAACAACATTCTCAATTCATTAGAATATAGATCTACATTGTCACAAATCTGTCATATCACGATCTGACATATTGTTAGAGTGAGAAAATATTGTGATATTGTGGTCTTGGGGTATATCTTTAAGAAGTTAACTACCTTGAGAGATAGGTAAGGAGCCTGAATAAGGCTGGAGGTCAGAATTTAATTGTGTTTGACCAGTAGTGAGCTGGATTGACATCTTGGGTGACGTTTGGGATTCGATTCCTCGTCAAGGTAAGAAAAATCTAGTGCCAGTACTAGTGTTTCCGAGAGTTTACCCACCCCATAATAACTTATAAAGAGAATTCTGGAAACATAAGAGTTGCCGTCAAACAACAAATCAAAAGAAAGGCAAACATAGCATACCATAGTAATTTCTGAAGCTTTTAACGCATCTTCTACTGGTTTTTTAACCCTGGCAAATAAATCAGCACACATCTCTTCTAATTCAACTCTTGACACTTTTAATCGGAAATCTTTCTCTTCCAGTAAACCTTCAACCTGTAAAATATACCAAATAGTTCAAATGACATTCTATCAACATTTTATATGCAAATCTGTATGAAATACACCAAATAGACAATATTAGGTATGAGGACTTTGAAAGGGAAACCAAATTATCCCTTCCACCAAAACTAAATTTAGTTCAGAACTTTTTACTGATGAAAAATGACTTGGAAAATGGCTAAATGGAAAAACCAATTTTATGTCCTACTATTCAGCACCTAATTGGGCTATAAAGATGGACATCATGCAGTGTGCAATGAGGGAAATTTTGCCAGGACAGAGGCATAAGCCTGCTGTTTTTTGATTTCTAAACTGTAGAAGGATGGAGAGATCAGTACAGAGCCTCTGTTTATTTTTACCTGAGCATAATGATCAGAGTTGGCACTGAGAACATGTTTAACTCTGTCAGCCTCTTTCAGAAGTTTAGCCATTGCTCTGTCGTTAGTTTTGACGTCTGTTTTAGTCTTCTTCATATTATTAAAGGCTGTAGCCAGATGGTCTCGTAATCTCAATGTCATTTCTAATCCACCTAATACTCTATCATATCTGAAAGACAAATTAACGTTAGATATCGATAGACAAAGAAAAATCTTGGGGATACTTAAAAAAAATGAAACAAATTTTGCAGCTGACTTTTTTGTACCTCTTTGGATCTAGGTCTATCAATGCATACACCCTGTGGTCCCACATACAGCCAATTTTTGGTCTCAAACAATGTTGCACTCAACCTTGAAACAGCTCAGTCGGTAGTGGGTTGGGTTGTTGTCTGCTAGGCGATTAGGTACCATGGGATCAAATCCTCAATGTAAGAAAAATTCTGATGCCTGTGCCAGTGCTTTCTAGAGTTGTCCAGGTGTTGGTCCTCACCCTCTAATATCTAAATTTAATTAAAAGTACCTACCCCACTCCCTTGACTACAACTTGAGGGTTAGTTTCTAGTCTGGTACCCTCTTTAATCTTTACTACGTGATAACCTGTAATGAATGAAGCACAAAATATGATTGAATTGACAATATTCAAATCTTAATCAACGTCAAATAACCAAGTTTTTTTTAATAGAATTATCCCATGAAGAGCAAAAATTGAAAATATTTCAACAAGGGGGAATTATATATAAACACAGCTTTATAGAACAACAATCACTGGTTAAAGTTTTATGCAACGTTTCGACGTGTTTCCCCCGTCGTCCTCAGGCACATCATGAGAAGAAGTGATGGGCAAACTATATATACATTAATGCTTAAATTAAGAACATACAAGAGATAAATAACGTGGCATACAACTTTAACCAGTGATTGTTGTTCCATAAAACTGTGTCTATATATCGTACTCACAATTGCTAAATGCCATTCAAAGACTTTAAGGGGGAATTAATTTCAAAAAATTGTCAGCAACATCAAAAGCAACTCATGAAAGTCGTATTCAGAAGTGGATGAATAAAAGCCAAGACTTACCAACAACTGAGACTACAGTACTAGTAGCTCCCATATCAAAAAACATATAATATACCATAGTAGAATTAAACATCTTTCTTCTAAATACACCATAATTTAAAGCAACTGAAAAATTCAAATTTCATTTTTGAATGATGACGGTCAACATTATGCAGTGTGCAATGACGTCAAGAGTTTCGATCAAAAGTTGGACTGAAATCCAGCAAAACTACAACAATAAATGAAATCAAAACTTACCAGCAGCGTTGTCACTCATCAGTTGTAGAACGTTTAAACCAATCATTTCAGCAGCTGATAATACAGCTCTACGTTCAGCCTGATGAAAATACGCTGGTACAGTTATTACAGCATCTTTTATTGGTTGCTCTGAAATACACATAAGTCGTTTATAAAACAAATATGTCTTAGTTCAAGTTTGGGATAATGAAGACCCATTATGTCAAGCAGTGTACACGGGGGGAATTTCATCAAGACAGCCTTCTATTTTTGCAAGAACCACAGATGTCTGAAAATTGGAATGGTGCTAATTGATGTTATCAGTGTGCCCTATGAGCATAATTTTTTTTAGAAAACCCCTTTACAATCCCTTTAACTCACCAGCAAAAGCTTCAGCAGATTCTTTGGCATTTTCTAGAATCATACCCAATAGTTCTTCAGGACTGTACAGAGTATCACTGCAAATAAATATGGAGGAACTGGTTAATCCAAGATACAAGTGATAGCTTAAACCAACCATGACAGTTGAAAAATATTTCATTCTTAGGATGACAGTTGACACTCTTGCCTCTTGAATCGCAGTATGAGGTAACAGCCAGCTTTTTTTGTCATCTGAATACTTACGCAACATTCATGCATACAACAGTTGTAGAGCGACATAGAAATATCCACCTCTGCAACATAGATAAATCATCGGCATATTTCATCCCTAAAAAATCTGTCAATAAAAATAGACTTACTCTTCTAGTTTAAATAACACTGTTCCTCTAGTCTCATCTTCTATAATATCATATTGGGGGAATCTCTTCTTAAAAACTTCTACTGTAGTATCATTATATCTCTTACCAATCACATTTAATATATAACCAAATGCTTTCTTTGGAAACTTCACAGCCTAAAATTAAGATTACCAAGAAACTTGTGAAATGAAATAAAGTTTTAAACCCTACTTTTCTGCAACTGATCAAGCTATTGTCATGCAGTGTGCAATCAGGGCAATTCTGTCAGGATAACATCAGAAGCTAGTTGTTTTTGATCTGTCGAAAGTTGGATTTCCACACCTAAATGCTGTTATAGACGGCTGTAATTAATTTTCTGAGACTTTCTATGGCATTCAAGATAGACAAATACTTACAGTAGAATATGCCTGATTAGCAAAATGTCTCTCTCCATCTCTAAAAGCTACAATAGTTCTTGTTTTTCTCGAACTTTCTCTGAAAGACAATTAATATAATAAATTACAAGGTGAAGAAATCAACTCCCTACCCCAACTATTGAACAAGAAATTTTCTCATTAATATTCTGTTATCAGTAAAAGAAGAGAAAATAGGAAATTCATTTTCAACTGAACAAATATTTTCAAACTTACTTATTTAAAGCTATTTCCATAGGAACACCAGGCTGAAAATTAAAACAAATGTTTATGAATATTTTGTTCTAGTGCCACAGTAAATAGGTAAATATATCACAGGCTGCGAGTTGATATTTGCCTTCTAATTTTGATAATGCATCATTCAACATTTTAGTGATATTCTGATCAAATTTCAAAGAGCAGAACTAGGCTTATTATGAGTAATATTATTTCTGTCCTTTGTATAGTTTTTATATGTAGGCCTGGGATAGAGAAACCATTTTAAACATCAAATTTGAGAATTGTTGTATTAAATAATACATGACGTGACCTCTGCTTAGCAATAGGCAATAAAAATAACATACCTTTACTATGGCAATCTTCATGTATTCTGAGCCTAAATCTACAGACATGACAGCTACTCCATCTATAATTAATAATTGATAATAAGAACTCCACCTTAAATTCACTCAAAATAACAGAGCTTACAATTTGATCAAGGGTTACTCATTTTTGCTGTAGGAAAATCAAAATCTGATATTTTAATTGTGCATAGTTTGTTTGAAGACCAACTAAATCTCACGTTCAGTATCTTAGCAACAAGAAATATTCAAAGTTCAAAGAGTTCAGACAAGGCTCAGTTTATTTACAGTGACAATATTTTCGAGATTCACTCAAGTGGCAGATTATATTCATATTTATATGGTATTTTCGAATATTTAATCATATCCATTAAACCTTTTTGCAAAATGATATGTTTAGTTCATAATCCCAATAGCAAAGTAATAATTACAGAAATACGCTCAAAGGTACACTAAATAAGCTTTGCTGAGAGAAATCTAATTAACAATAGATAACAGTTTGTTTCTTTATTTTTTTTGGTCTCCATTATGATCTGAATAGATTTATATCAAGGTCTCGTACTGGTGACCCTGCAAGCTACTTATAGCAGCCAATCACACTCCTCTCTCCCAGCAATCAGAATCAGAATTTTAATGAGATTAGGCTAAAGAGATCTCAACTTTACCTGTATAACTAACAACTGCAATGACCAGCACTGCTATATAACATAACAACATTTTACACCGGATCATATCTTAAACTGAAATAAAAGGCAAAGTTGGATTTATTACTTAATCTAATGGATTTATTGGATTAAGGAGAGATTCTGCCATATAGTTTTGACACCAGTTAAGTCCACTGATGAATAATAATCTATCACAGCTGATGGCCAAGTTTTAAAATTTCAATTATTTGGTCATGCTAAGAGGTAGTAAACTTTGCTCACTGTCTAAAACTTTTCCAATTACAATTCAATTTTAAATATCTGCCTCAGGGATATTTAACTGAATATTTATGAGGTCCAGATTTTAATAGTTATTTTTTAATGAGATGGCCTAAAGCATGTTTAATACTCTCTTTTTAAAAATTACAAAAACATAAAACAGGAAAGGAGATTGCAGGTGTTTTTTGGTTGTTTTTTTATGTCCCAGTATAATGCTTGTAATAAATATTCAAAAGAAAATAAAGATTGTACAGATTGGGAAATAGTGCTTTTTTATTCACAGATAGTCATGTAAACCACATAAACTTAATGAATAAAAATCCAATTTCACTAGGTAAGACTAGCTAACAAATTGAATTTTATCTTAATTTAAGATCACTGAGCTAGAACCAGAACAGATGTTGGTAATCACTACAATTCAGTTAGATACAACACATGTAAGCTGATTTAATGAAATAAAAATACATTAGGCCATGCCACGCTGTATAAAATGTAGGCAAATGTTTCCTGATCTTCATAGCTAACTCAGTAGATTTACTTTTACTTTATTTCTAAATTTAATCAGTCAGATTAAACTGGTGTAAGCTGATTTGATAAAATACCATAACATTATTGACAGTACAGTACAGTACAAAACTGTTGGCAAAGTTTCCTGGTTTTCATAACTAACTGGGTAGACTAAACTTACTTTATTTTAATATCAAATTTCAGTTGCAATAATATTAGGACCTACATTAGAATGTGATGTAAAATTTCAGTGCATGTCCTTCTTACATAAAAAGCTCATAAACTACATGCCTTCCTTTCTTATATGCCAGTGCTTATGACTTGATGATCGACAGATTTTTCTAGAATTTAGTAGGCTTATTCAGTTATATAATACAATAATAAGGCAATACCGGTACTTCAATAGATAAGCCAAGGGAAAGTAAGGACAATGAACGCTTAGAATTTAATACTTGACGAACCATTCATCAACAGCATTATAACTCATTTATCATTCAATATTTCAAATTGTAGCACTTTTTAACTAAATTAAAATCGAGTTTCAATTTTATTCAATTATTTACTGAACGAAAATTACAGACACACGTGGGAGCAATGTGACATTTTCGATCAAGAAATCTAAAATCTGCCGAAGGATATATAAGAAAATATACTGTACCTTATTAGTCCGTTAAACACGAATTAATCTAAGCGATCCGAGCCACTTAATTAACGGTACAATTAATTATCTGTTGAAATTCAATGTGATTTCCGTGCCATGCAGACAACCGGCAAGTCAAAAAATAATCAGAAGTTGCGAATGTGTCATCAGCTGATTGGAGAAATATTACTTCCGGTTATTCTACACGTACACATCCGGTCACGTGATAAATCGAAAGTAGAGATTCATAGGGAAAGATCTGACGCAATACAATAAGATTTGAACCAGGTTTCAAACCATTGAATTGGTACTTTATTATGCAACAAAGACAGCCAACCCCTCCCAATATTTTCCAGCAACTGTCAGTGATAGGCCTTATAGGCAAAGTTTTCTTTGGCTCATTCCAAATCCCCATAGCATAGACACACTATCTTTTTCAGTTTTTCAGTTTTCATTTGAATGAAGATGAGATGAGATGAATCCAGTTGTCTGGCAGGGGTAAAGAGAGCTGTTTATAAGGACCTGCCTCTATGGCAGCCAATAAGTTTTGCCCCATTTTACCCCAGATTCGCAATTCAATGCATTTTACAATCAATGATTCATTTTAGTAATTGCTGGCTTTCGAGTTATGATATGAAATCAAGCACCTATGCTCACTTTCCCCCCCAAGACAAGAAATTTATCATGATGTCTCTTATCATGATCAGTTCTTGCATGTTTGTAAATGTCATTTAAGATTTGGAGATATTAAATCTTTATAAGCCTATGTAGGCCTATAAAACTCAGGATAGTTCGCCCAAGGGAAGTGGGTAGGATTTTTCTACAATTTGGGTTCAACAATATGAATTAATCGTCAATAGATATATATGAATGCATTGTAATAAAAACACAAATCAGATTATAACACATTTTAATCAGTAGAAACCACCACAGGGGCATATTCATCCGATTCCGTTGAGAAATCCCATTTAAATGTTTTAGTTAGATATGCCTGGAACTTGGACCCACGCCTTTTCAATTTGTCATCAGCTGAACTGGATTCCAAATTTGAGAAAAATTCTTGTAATGTTCCAGTTAAAAAGTTATTTTGTGAAACAATATCCACGAAAAAATCTTCAGGAATTTCCTGAAGTTGAAAATGTAATATTGAGATGAATTGAGTGTAAAGATTTGAATATTTTTGTATGGCTTCCTCACATGAACATAATAAATGGACTAAATATTTCCACTGTTCAAAAGAATCGTAATTTTGTCCCACCATAAAACACACGAATGCAAATTGAAGTTCTCCTAGTATGCCGTTCCAATTTGTAGAAAATCGGTCTGATAAAATAGAATCGAGCATATACGATGAATCCATGCTGTATTTTGTGATATCTGCTGGTGATGCCCCTGGGGGGTATTTCATTTTTGGTATATGGGAATACCGAATCACAGTTTCTGGCTTAGTTTCCATCTTGGGTAGCCTGGAATCTTCGCTGTCTGTTTTTGATTCTGATAATTCCATGGCATCTCTCCGTGACTGTGTAGTGCTACTCTCTGAAATAAACTCTGTTACGGCTGAGATTTTTTCGTTCTCTGGTTGTATTTGACCCACTAGTTGAGGGGTGATATGGTTTGTAAGTGAAACCCATTTCTTATAACTGAAAATATACAAAATATTTTTTAAAACATGAATACCCTAAATGTTTACAAGGATAAACTTGTCAAAATAATTGTGATAGGGGTTGAAAGCCGACACTGGTCCTAATCTCGAAAGCATAAGCCTTGGCATCTCTTGCGTTGAAGAGAATTAATCGCCTAGTACAATCCTACTTGCTACTGTCTGAGCTCTTACCATGCCACTATTTGCATTGCTTTCAAATATTGGTATTTTTAAGCTATATGTATCATATTTCAAAATTAAAATCAGACAACCTGCTTGCCTACAATTCAAGTAACATGACTATTGTTCCCTTTATGCCCATTATTAACATTCTCACAGACAGTAATGATTGATCATGCCAGAACAAGGGAAACAACTCCAAGCAAAAATACACGAAAAACCCATAAGAAGTCCTACCTTTCATAAGGATAGGCACCCAGATATCTATCTAGTTCTTGTTTGTTCTGTATAAATCTTTCTATTTCTTCATCTGATATAGGAGCTGGTGAAATATCTATAAAAAAAATATCAATTTTATGATTGAGTACAGAAACTAAAAGTAATGATTGTAGATGAGGTGTACAATGTAGGTGACCAAAACTTTTATTGTGTATCAGGGACATTGTTAGCATGGATTTGCACCATTCAAATTACCAGTTGTACATCTATGAACAATTCCAGTAAAACTAAGCATTTTATGATGTCACTTTAGCGAAAGCTACCAATAATATCTAATGGCCTTTAGTAGAGTTTTAGTAGAATTGCAAAAACAACAGACATCTGACTGAAAATTGGAATGGTGAAACTAGATCATACCTTCAGTCAGTTTGTCCCACTTTCTGACAACCATTTCTCTCTGTTTGAAATTATAGAAAAATCCTGTTCTAGGAGCAGAATCTTTCTCTTTATTACAGGCACTGAAATAAGAAAAGTAGGCCTTTCATTATTTTTAAGATTGGAGATATAGTAATTTTCACAAGCTTCAACTTAACATGTGGTATACAGTGAACAGTGCCTGCATAGTTGGCATAGTTAAACAAGAAATTTCTGCCAATATTAAATGTAATTTGGAATTTCAAATTCCAATATGATGCATGCTTACAGTAGCGTATCTAGGGTTAAGCCATTGGACCATGGCCCTTCTCTCAGGCCTGTGATAGATCTTATTTTGTGATAATGCTCAAAATGCATCTCAGGCCATTGAAACCTTCTGGCTTCTGGGGGCATTTTCTAGATATGCCCTTGCATGCTTACCTATAATATATGAAATGGATGCCAGGTGGTATCATCTTAACACCTTTAAAATTAGGTCCTACATTCCATGAGTTATAATCTATACCAAACTCAGTGCCTACTGGAACATCTAGAAATACAAATACTGCTCCTTCTTTAAATAATACTTGAGCTTGTTCTTGATCCATTCTTCACCTGAAATAATAAATAACTTATTATAAAATAGCTTGTCCGAGTTGCCTTTGGTCCGAGTTGAGTCCATTATTTGTACCTCTACTTGTCTAACAGACAGAAGTTATTATTAGGCTATGACATTTAATAAGCACTAGTCTACTGTCACTCTCGGATATCACTGCATTTTCTTTTCCTATGTCTATGTGATAAGCATAAAGAACTGGAACAGTGGAAGGGGCATGCGGTGGCTCAATGAGTTAGATGCTTGCTCACTAAAGTGAAGATCCAGGGTTCAACGGTCTGTACACGTTTAAGATCCCTAGACATTTGAAATGTGATAAAACGACGAATATTTCCTTACATATGTCTAATTTTTCGAGCAATTTTCAAAAAAGTAAGAAAAACTTCGTTTCTATCACGTTTTACTTCGCCGGAAATACGACTAAATTGGTTTTCTTGAAAGAGAAGATCTTATTCAAGGGAGGTAATGTTAATTCCAGACAACATTTTTGTTAGACTCTTGTAGCATATTCTGGAGCTCATTTGCATTATGGATTATTATTCAAAATAATGCTTATCCAAAGGGAACTTGGATAGATCTAGATGAACAAATACATGGGAGCTGCTTATTCTGTTTTATACAGCGAGGTTGCATGTGACATCTGGCGCCGTTCTCCATTGTGCGAAAAATGTTGCCCCTTGGTGACTCTTTCTAATATTACAGCATCTGGGTGTATCGGAAGACCCCCCCCCTCCGGATGTAAGATAACAAAGAATTTAGTATTCTAATACTTTATTACCAAACAAAGAACCAGTCCTAGTAGAAGGGAGCAGAATTGAAAAAGTTGGAAAATTTGATTTAATAAAAACGCATTTATGACTCTTTTCTGAAGAGAAAAAGAACAGAAATAAAATTTAAGAAATACAAATGTTAAGAAAACGTCTATCACATTGCTGCAAGCGACTATTTCGATCTAATCTTGAACTGTGGGGTTATCACCATGGAAATCTTCAGCCCATTGTTCGATATCCTCAAGAGAATGAATGAAACACGTGCTGTCTTCAAAATGAACCAAGTTGAATTCTCCACATCTTCCAATATGGTTGTTAGCAACGGGATCAGCTTTGTCGAAGGTGATTTTTCCATTTTTGGAGTTACATTTTGATTTTTGGAAGTTTCTTTCCCATCCGTTTCTGATTGGTAGTTGTCCATTAGAGGTCAAATATCCCTGAAAAGGTTTTATTACCTTAGTAAGATGAACTCAAAGGACATGGCCCTATCATAACAGAATAATTTGCGATCAATGTTCGTTCACTGTTACCGTGTAACAATTAACTTGCTCGTAAATTCGATAATTTCGCATGTTTACAGTTTAAAAGACATTTGACTCTCCATTTTGACCACAGGGACACGACATTGAGTCAAGCACGACAAGAGCTTTGTGTGTTTTTTATAAAGGCCTACCTTGAATTCAAACCATCCATCAGTAGTCTGGCTGCAGTTCATGTCTAAATCTACCAACCAATAATGACCGGCTTGGACATTCAACTTATAATATCCAGCACCATCCTTGCCGACAGTCGATTCGTACTCTCTGTTATACGAAATAAGGCAAATATTAGTCATAATAATAAACATAAACAGGAATGGACGTACGTGTCAGTCGTGTTTGGTGCGTTTCATTAACGTGTCTGACGTGTTTCATTGACGTGTCTTACGAGTTTCATTGACCTGTCTCACGCCTTACTAACTTGTCTGACGATTTTCATTGACCGGATCCTTCTGATCCATAAAAAAAAACAGCTGTGGGATACGTGGTTGATTTACACCTGCTCCTTTGGTTTTTTATTTAGCGGGTGACCCCTCTTATCACCCACCATCTTCACAACGTAAAGGTGTTAAGGTATAAAAGAAGGTGGCTATTACATTCAAGGTATAAAATGAAGTTCGTAATAGCTTGACCTTGTGAGGATGATCGCCCGTGATCCAAGTTTTCAAGCGAGAGTTAAAACTGAACGTTGCAACTCTTTTTTGCAACCAACCCCTTTAAATAATTGCAATGTGTACTTACTCATCATTGGTGGTCCACATCATTGGTGTTCCTTGTGGAACAATTCTTCCATCATAGACACCTTGTCCGATTTCATTGCTTCCCCAATCCAAGTAATTATCTCCCTTGGATGTGGAGGCGTAGAAACTGTCTTGATCTTCTGGAGCGATTCTGTGTTTGATGCTTATTTTCTTGCCTTCTGGTCCACCACCACGGAGATACAAATACTCGCCATATTGGGTCTCCTGCTTGATGGCAATGATAGTTCTCTTCATAGGTGATTCCTTTACGGGTACTTTGGGTAACATACCTGGCTTGACGGGTTCATCAGCTTGAACTTGACCTTCTATTTTTGGTTGATGCCTATCTCTTCTTCCAAACAAAAATCGGACGCCATCTCTGATGATTTTCCTGAAGCCAGTGCCGAAGTTTCTTAATCTGAAGGCATCGACTTGTGTGGAGGCAACACAGAGCACCAATACGAGGCAAAGTAATCCGAGTCTCATCGTGAAGTCTTGATTGATAGTAAGCCAGTGATCCGCTGGAACGACTTCGGCAAGAAAATGCTCCGATATTTATATCCTTACCAACGACCTTGACAGTATATTCCAGAAAGCAAATAGTCATATCGAACGATCAATCCATTTACCTATTTACTATTGTTTGTTTATTTGGTATCGGGTGTCAGCCCTTATAATAGACTTTTTCTTTATGGGTAGGACAGAGACCTTTAGTGAACCCTTTTAGTAAAATATTTCTATATAGTATTAATTATTATGCAAAATGTAAACAATTGTAACAGGCCTCCTGGATTGTTTAGTTGACGCTTGCAAATGAAACGACCACCAAATGTCTTTAAGAGGAAGTATGTGTCAGTTTTAGGGCCCTGTTTCTCAAAATTTGAATATGTTGGCTGTAAGAGTCTACATATTTCATATATAACCGTAATATAAAATGATGCAGTAAATCCAAACCTCCGAACCACACTAACATTCTTAACCGGAAGTAAACTATTGTGCAAAAATAGTGTCAAAGATATATTGTCAACAATTCACCGTCAAAATCTGAGCCTTCAAATCCATGTGTGCCCAGAATTATCATCCGGGTTTGAAAGTTAAAATGACGACTCGTTTTTTCTTGATAATACATATAGAAAAGAAGAGCATATAGAGAAGAAAATCCTTGGTTTGGGATGTATTTGATGGGATTGTGTGATCTCTGTACAATTCCAGTACTTCTGAAGACTATTTACATATATTCAAGACTCAAACCAAGTCCCGAAAATGGCGAACCGTGGCCTTTAAAGGGGTAGGTTATATAAGACCACTTTGATTGATTTGATTGAAGTAGTGATAACTGTTTAAAGCTGGGGTGTGCTCGTTACCGGGCTGTCACCAATATTTGATGAACGGTATCATGTTCAAGTACTGCCATTTCAATTGTATATCTGATTGAAAACAAAATGTTCTGACCCAGTGAAATTTAATAAATTTTCCATCGAACCACTAAAAACTCGGTGACTCAACAACACGCATAATGCGCGCGGTCGTTATATTCTTAATCGTATTTTGTAGGTACAAGTTAAGTGCATAAGCACTAAAGATCCCCTCGTGCATAGCATAACCAGTTGCACACAGTTGCGAATACTGAAAGTGGCAATGAGTATCGCCTGCAACTTACAACTGCAGGAGAGTTAAAATCTATTTTGAATTTAGCTTTATTAATCAATAGATTTGCTGTAAAAATTTGAATGTTAGCCAAATTTAAACTTGTGAAAAGGGGATCTGGTCTTGTTCTCTTCTTTATACATGAGTCGTAGGTAGGCTTAATTGTTCGGAGAGGCAAATTATATATTCGGAGGGGCAATGGTGTAAAGTGTATAGCTGCAGTAATCCCCCAAGGACAGGTCTGGCGGGAGTCCTATTAATCTGATTCTCTCCTACTAGGCCTACACATATAATAATATAATATCCCTTGTACTTGGTTTATTTATCGGTAACATGCCCCCCTCCCCTACCCCACAACTCCAACCAGTTCCTAATTTAGACGTTGAGTACGCTTGGACTTTTCTTTTGAAATATAACCCCTTGCGAAGTATCAAAAAAAAAAACGAATCAATGATTTTATTTATTTAAAACGTTAACTATGTATAATTATGCAAATCTTTTTACACAATAGGTAGTCCCTCTTCAACATGTTTATGGGTCAAATGATAAAGGTGACCTTAATTTAGTACTAAATTTATCCGATTTCATTTTATGGTTCTTAAAAATATGCTTGCAGATTATTGTTCACGGTTTCCTTATTGCCTTGGCCCTTTGGCAAAGGTTTGACCGAATATGGCGACTAAAACAATGGAGCATATTATCAGTTAGTTAGCCCAATATAAATCTAATTGAATCCGGCCAATTTTTGTTTAACAAAACAATGATAACTTAATTCAAATGTGCCCCAGTATTGACCATTATCTATGAAATTTAGAATCACAGACCGAATTTCATAAAGCGAGAATCAGCGACACCGGATATAATTTTATGGCGAGTAAATTTAGCGTCACCGATCAAGGGCAGATAACTAAGAATTAATTGTTGAAAAATGAATTTGCCAAAATTTTACTTTGTTCATATTTTGTGATTTTTCTACCATTTTTCGCGTCAAAATCATGGAAAACAGCCTGAATAGTCATGGCTCGGAGCCGACAGAAGACGATGATAGCAATAATGAGAATTTTAGCATCAATGGCGACGAGTATGAGGACTTTGTTGTGATGTGTCCTGCTTGCGGCCAAGCCTTTTCAACAGAATCTGAAAGGCTTGCCCATGATTTTGATAACTGCACTGGCGCAGAACCGATAGCCAAGTCCAGACGACTTGAAGATGAAATTGAGGAGTCATATTCTAATGAAATTGGCGACAGAATTGACGAATTTACGGATGATATTATGTCCCTGCAATCGGAATATGGAACATTGTATGATAACAATAGCAATAATAACAAATTATACAATAACTGCAATAAATCACAAAACAGTATTACTGATAAAACTAGGGATGACCTAAAACCGCAATTCATGCAAGCTCCTTTAATTCCATTACTTCCTAAACCATCCATAAAATCCAATAGTTTGTTGAAATTCGGTCATAATGGTATTGGTGCCTCTTTTCCAATCAGCAAACAAGTCAAGGACCAGTTTTCTACTAATTATTTCCATTTTAAGAAAAATGAACTTCAAAATAGAGGGAAGGATGCAAAAGGTAGGTACCTTGGCTGCATTTTTAGGCACATGTGTGTCTAAGGAGTAAGCTTTTCTGAAGTTTGATCCGAATTGTCCTGATTCCTTTTTGTTGACCCAATGGCTTCAAATGGATAATAAAGAGGATTTCCAAAATTTTCAGTGTGTAAGCTAATTGGTGCTATTTATGGCCTCTACAATGTAGAAAAGTAGGGAGTAAAACTCCATTCATTTCATTTCTATTTACATCATTCCATTCTTCAGTCAGAACTTGAATAACTAATAAGCTTATAAGCATGTTTAATTTTTTTCTAAAATGTTAACACAACTATCGTATTTGTAGAAGAAGTTCAGCTAAAGATCCCCATACCACGTCTAAAACAGAAACCCAAAGAGGAAGAGAACATCACAGCAGCCATGCTGGCAGAGAAGATTAATGGAGTAAAACCGTACGAGTGTGACGAATGTGGGAGAGTTTTTGTCAACCTTCAAGGCTTAAGTCATCACAAGGTTACTCACAATGGCAGCAAACCGTACGCCTGCTACTGTGGTAGATCTTACACTACGGTAGGTAATCTCAAGGCTCATCAGAAAACACACAGTGGAATTAAACCCTACAGCTGTGAAGAGTGTTCGAAGACATTTACCACAAAACAAGGCTTAATTTATCACCGGACATTACATACAGGAAATACACCTTATAAATGTGATGAATGCGGAAAATCTTATTCCTACAGTGTGGCTCTAAATGCACACAAGAAAACACATTTGAGACTGAGAATGGAAGCCGAAAGCACTGCCGCGCTGTATTCAATGATGCCGACAGAGATGACCAGTCCTTCACTCACTGAACAAGCATTACTGGGAGGTATTTAAAATACAACCAGAGTTTTTCGTGTTTATTTTAAACACAAATTGATAATATGAATTGCAATATTTAATTTTTTAATTTGATCCATCAAAAATCAAGTTTATAATAGCAGTTTTGTTGATATACAGCTCTAGACAAGTATAGCTTCAGAACTTTGTTTTTTTCTGGGATTACTATTTGTGAATGAGTGAAGTATCCCATAGAAAATAATGAAACAAATAATTAGAGCTGTATATTGATTAGATTGCAGATTAATGATTGAAATGTCCTTTATTGTTGCATTCTATTTTGAACAATGGAATATTGTTTGACATAGAGAATCCCACCAATAAAATTTGAAAATTAGTTTGATCAAGGGCTACTTTAATTTTTTTCAGTATTTTGTAAGTGATAGGTGTGTATTTGGACCTGTAAGTAGTCAATACATAACCTAACAGATACATGTATATTAAAAATTTGGGCCGTGAATGATGGTTCACTTACAAAATTCTGAGAAAACTTTGGTTATCCTCGAAAATGATGTGATCTGCTTTTACCATAATTTACAATAATTCCATGCAATAAACTGTGTAAATGTATCCTCTATAATTTGACAGGGTTCTTTGTTGATTATTTAAGTAATTAAATTACATTGTGTATTAATTAATTAATGTACTAATTATGCAGCTTTAAGAATATTACCTATTATTATTATTATTATTATTATTATACCTATTATTATTATTATTATTATCGCAATATTAGTTAGTCGTAAGTCAATATTGTCTTTGTGAATTAAAGAGAGAGGGAAAACTTATAAAATGTTGCAAACTTTTTGACATATTTTCTTGCAGTTTTTGAAAAGTCTATATCATTCATAACAGCTATTTTACTTCTAACGTTGATGATACTTAATTGACATTTGTCTACTGTATGAAGTTAAATTTTTGATTATAGCATTCTATTTTTGAAAGCTGTTCTTCAACTGATGTTGTGCTTCAGATGTTGATGATAGTTTTTATGACTCTAGCTAATTGACATTTGTCTATTGTATGTGTATAGATTATAAATTTTATTCAGATGATTCTATTTGGACTCTGGAATCAGAAATAAATCAGTTTTAAAAAAATAATCATTTTAAAATCGTTTTAATATTCAAAGAATACTGGAAATATGTCAGAAAGGTTCCAACCAAATCTAATAATATAAAGAATTATAGCAATAATAGATATATAACATAATTTATTTCCCGTATTTTCAACACACGTAATCTTCAACATTATGGCTTCAAGTTAGCCATTATCATCTCTCTATGACGTGACCACCTCAATCCCTCTCTTTTAACACCAAGGATTTTGCTCATATAATAAACAATTATGTAAAATTCCTGATTTTTAACTTGTATTCGCTATTGTTGCTTTCAACATTTGATCCATTTGAAATACATCCAAAACCAATCCATCCTTTTAATTTAAAGTCCCTTTTTGTAGAGTTTGAACTAGTCTTGTTTTGTCTAAGTATTAATCAATATCATATATTCAGTTATTATTTTTTAATCTTTTAAATTCAACTTTAAGGCATTTTGAGACTTAAAACTACACAGTTGATTTTGAGAATTTTTCTTAAGTACAGCAGACTGAATTCTGCTTTTGTTAATGGTATAGACATCTTGATTATATACTTAACCAGCTGATGAAACAAATGTCAGCTTTCTGTGTCCCTTTCAGAATTGGAATCTGACTTCCAGTATGCCTACAATCAAATAGCATGTAATGAAATGAATGGCAAACAATTCAAAACCTTTGATATCTGATGTTTAGATGTCTATTGGGGTCTGTTAATTATTGGTTAATTGACAGTCAACCACAATTCATATTTCATTTTTAAAAGGGATACATATATCTGTAATCCTGCTCCATCAGTTGGTAAAGTAACTAATTAGATGACTGTCCCTTTCATGTATTTTCTAGTTTTAATGAGACCAAAGGTAATTAACAATTGTTTTAATTAGTATCACTAGTCACAGGGATAGTATTTGAGTTGAAATAACAACTGTCCACCATCAAAAGCTTTATCTTATTTGTTTTATTTTTGTTTTGAATTGTTATGAGATGAATTACATCTTACTTTAACTAGTTCATATAGCTGTTTTATACCTTGATGATTTCAAATGTCAAAATTTTACAATTTCATATCATGTATTTCAAATTGTATATGGAAAATATTCATTTTTTTGGCATGATGCAACTGTTTTTGGTGTGTAATTCTTGAAATATGATTGGACTCGTATAATTTGAACCAATCATGTTAGGAATACTAATTCAACTTTCGTTGGTTTAAAATTATTGAAAAATGATTGGACAAACTATGATTTAAACCAAATAGTTTTTGTCTAAGATATGATAGTTTTTTGATTACCTTTTTGGACTAATAAAAGTCAACTGCAATTATGAAAACTGTGCAAAATTTTAATGCATCGTTAGATGTTTTGATGAATTTTTGAAAAGTTGTGAATTATCACATGAATAATTTTGAAAACTGTATTTGAAATCACAAGTATATTTAATTAAGCAAAGTAAAAACCTTGCTATTGTCGAGTTATGTTGTTTTGTTAATCTTAAATAAAACCAAAGTAGGCTCAGAAACTGTTTTCTACAGTGTAGTACTTAGTTATTTTCCAAATCTTTTAATTTTAGTCACAATTAACCAAATATTATGCAATTTATATCTTTATTAGTTTTATTATTAATCATCTGCTTTTTATTTAATTTATATTGAGTTTTAATAGTGTTCATTATCTGTATAGTTGTACAACAGTAAGGAATCTGTATAGTTGTACAACGGTTAAGGATCTGTATATTTGTACAACAGTAAAAGATCTGTATATTTGTACAACAGTAAGGAATCTGTATAGTTGTACAACGGTTAAGGATCTGTATATTTGTACAACAGTAAAGGATCTGTATATTTGTACAACAGTAAAGGATCTGTATGGTTGTACAACAGTAAAGGATCTGTATAGTTGTTTTATTTAATTTATATTGAGTTTTAATAGTGTTCATTATCTGTATAGTTGTACAACAGTAAGGATCTGTATATTTGTACAACAGTAAAGGATCTGTATGGTTGTACAACAGTAAAGGATCTGTATAGTTGTACAAAAGTAAAGAATCTGTGTAGTTGTACAACAGTTAAGGATCTGTACAGTTGTACAACAGTAAAGGGATACATTCTTTGAAATATTTGCTTAACTTAACTTGATAGAGCTCAAATATTTGGCATAAGCACTGGGGCCTTATTCTTGAAAACTTAACTTAAGTCTTAGGAAGAATTTAGTGTTTCAATAATCTGATTGGTCAATCACTAATCAATTTTAAATTAAGTTTTGTTATCCAATCAGAAAACTGTATTCTGTAAAATCTGGATTTTATTTGAGTTTAGTTTTGGAGAATAAGGCCATTGGTATACTTTCTGTCAGTACAGAATGGCAATCAGAATTATGGAATTGTAATGGTACTGTTTGCAGATTCAAATGCCGGAAAGTGTTAAAGTTAGCCTATATTGAGCTCTAACAGCTGGTCAATATTAAGACTGTATACCTCAAACAGAAGTTAAATTGCTCTTCAGTGTGTCTCACTCTGCAGAGATTGCATTATGTCTTTAAAGGATAAAAATTGTTCACTATTTATCATATAATTGGGAGTACAATGCACATCCTTGTTTCTTTAGAATATATTTTGAAAAAAATCTCTCTCACCATATATATTAATTTGTTATTTGCTATACTTCTGTTATTGGCATTTGTAACAATTTACCATTAAACTAAATTAGCAAAATTTTGATAGCATTTTCCTAGTATTGCATTTTCTGCCTTGCTATATCTCTTATTGGCAATTGTAGTAATTTAGCATTGAGCTAAACTAGCAAAATTTGATAAAAAATCCCATTTTGTATTTTATTTGATTTATATGAAACATTTATAGCCATTTTGAAATTTTCCAAATGAATTTTATAATATAATTTATCTATCATTCATCTTCGGACATGTTGTATTATAGAATGTGAAAGAGTTCAAGGGATTTTAAAGAGATTTTCTAATCTTTGTATCTGTATCGGACACACTGATAGCATTAATTTACACCATTCCAATTTTCAATCAGATGTCTTTGGTTCCTGCAATTCCATTAAAACTTGACATTTAGTGAAGTCACTATGGCAAAAGATGCTTATAATATTCAAGTGCTGTGAAAAACCCTTAGTTTTAGTGTAATTGCAAGACTCGCAGATGTCTGATTGAAAATTAGAATGGTGCAAATTGATGCTATCATTGTCCTCGATACACATTAAAAGTTCAGGAAACTTCGTTACAAACCCAAAGTTTTAATATATCTGTTGTATAATGTAATGTATATAAGGTTGAAGTATTATATTCTATGAGATATATTGTTGTCTTGAGTGATTCGTATGGTGTGTGGATGTTGTAGGTAGATTCCATGGTTCCTGGAAGGTTGTCAGGCATATTGAACTTGCAGACTCGATGCTTTTCTCTCAGAAATTTAACTGAATTAATTGGTATAAGTTTAATAAGGTAATATAAGTTATTATACGCCCGTTGGTATAATTTAAATATAGGTGAATATAGGTATTATTGAAGCCCACAGTTTTTCTATTTTTTTGACTATTTAGATTTAAGGGATCCAGTCGTCTAATTATATATCAGCAGATAAAGGTCAATGTCAGCTATCTGTGTCCCTTTTCAGAAAAAAATCTGACATCTATGTTGACTGCAATTGATGAAAGATGAAGGTAACAAATAGAAACACCAGTCATCAAAGTTTCATCTTGAAGTGTGTTTTGTGTAGAATTGCACACAATATTTAGGTGACTGCATACCTTAATGATCATGTGTCCCATTTTA